GATGTACAAATGCACTTTACACAATTGATGTGTGTATGGATTGGGATAACAGTTGTATGAGCCCCTAATAAAATGTTAAAAAAAAAAAACCAAAAACACTGGTTTACACTTTCCAGATAAATATTTCTTAAGTAAAGACGGATTAAAGTTAAGTGGTTTTTAAAACCCAGTAAAATTTTCAGCCCCATAGATCACCTAGAAAAATGTTTGCTATACCGTCAATATTTTAAAACTTCACTCTCTATTACATCCATTTTAAGAATGCATTCTTAAAGAGGATCATGAACTTCAGGTGTTAAAATTTCCTAAAGCACTCTAATATTGACAATATTATTAGATAAATCTTGGGAAATATATCAATAAAATTAGAGTTATAAAATCTTTATGTTACATTTCACAATTTCTAGCTGGCATAAATATCATGATTTGTTAATAAATATACATATTACATATATCAATAGTATTGAATCCCCTCTCCAAATATTTCAAATTTAAGAAATATATCTGAAGAAAGTATGCACTAGTGAACTAATGTACTATATCTCCACTGACAATTTGGCTCACTCATTCATTTTCCCCAGCTGCCACTCTGCTGGAAAAGTTCAGCAAGTCAGAGGCTCTGCCAATGGCCTTGTATCCCAGCAGTCGGTTTTGAAGCTTGGCCCTTGACTTGACTTATTAAAATTGATAACCAGCTCTCCATGAAATTCACCTGATCTATTGCTTGGGGAAATGTGGTTTCTAGCAAAATGTATCTTAGTGAGATAACTCTTGTAAATTTCTAAGAAAATCAATTTTTCCCACATTACCATTTGATGGTAAAATCAAAAGTGTAGGTAACCCCAAAATGAAAAAAAAATATTATTAAGATGTATTGGTGAGAAAATAGATCTAAATGATAAAAAAGAAAAATATTCGATAGATTAATTTCACAACTTTTTGGCGAAGAATATCTATTAAAAAATCTGAAGTCATAACATGCTTTAAGAGAAACTTGGTACTACAAATATTTCAAAATGTGGGGGGAAATTGACTTTCTTATAATATTTTACAAATAATTATCTCACTAAGATTCATTTTCACTAAAAACCACATTTGAATGGCTGACCCTGGGGCAACCATAAACAATACAGTAAAAGTATAATTTACTAATTCTAATCCACTTTCTGAAGAAGTTGTTGAAACTTTCTGCTAATACATAATCAT